AACTACATTACAAGGATTTCTGAAATTTGGTTTCAGGGTTTATATAAGTCAGCTATACTGTGTGATGCGTTTTCAGATTCATCACTCAACAACTTCCTGTTTACCGAACACTTGTATCATTTTACACATGATAGCCAAGTTGAAAATTTTCGTCACATTTTTCTCAGGAACTACAATACAAGGATTTTTGAAATTTGGTTTCAGGGTTTATATAAGTCAGCTTTATCGTGTGATGCGTTTTCAGATTCATCACTCAACAACTTCCTGTTTACCGAACACTTACATATTTTTTACACTATTAAAATTATCCACTTGCGGCGGGGGTATCATCAGTGAGCAGTAGCTCGAAGTTTCACTTGTTTTATAATTTCTGATATGACATTGAGAAGTTATTGAACTTTATTCTTTGAAAAAGCGACGGGCGTATCACGCGCTCATGGCTCAGCTGTTTATTGGTGTATGGAATGATTGTAAGGTATACATGTCCATTTACGAGGAGTCTGTTGACCTTGAAATAATTTTAATGTATCATTGATTGTGTTAAGTTTATGTGATACCGATAGTAGAACCTTCATCTCAAATACTTTTAACAAAAAGTAAAATAACAAAAATACGGAACTCCAAGGAAAATCGAAAACGGAAAGTTCCTCATCAAATGGCAAAATTAAAAACTCAACACATCAAACGAATGGAAAACAACTGTCATATTCCTGACTTGGTACAGGCATTTCCTTAACAAGCAATTCAATCATGATCAGTAAAGAAGGCTATACATGTTTAAATATTTTACTCTTGTTATCATGTTATGATTTGTCTTATCTCACAATAAAAATTGGAGTGACAGATTTATTTGAAAATTATCTATTTCCTAAGTGGTAATGATTATAAGCTATATCATTAGACATTTTGAAGATTATTACATTATTAATTTTTATATATGTAATGTTAGAGTACTATGTTAAACCATAGTTCTGTTCAATAAGATCTGGGAAATATTTTAGCATATGATAATGATTTTATTAATAATTAGATCTGGGAAATATCTTAGCATATGATAATCATTGGAGTGACAGATTTATTTGAAAATTTTCTGTTTCCTGATAAGATATGTAGGACTGTATATATAAAGTTTGAAATTTACTAGAAGGACTGTATAAATGAAGTTTGAAATTTACTGTTCATTATTAGACATTTTGTAGATAATTAAGTCTCCCTAAATCATGTATATTCATACCCCCACCCCCCTTCAATTTGAGAATGCGCTTTTATCTTGTAAACGGTCGAGATCCCCACCCCTAAACCATATTTATTCTTGCATGGGACAATAAAACAAATCAAATGAAATATAGGGGAAGTCCATGAGGGTAACCCCCACCCCCTTCTTTTTGATAACTTGTTAACGGTCAAGATCCCCTACCCGAAACCATATATATTCTTGTATGGGACAATAAAACAAATCAAATGAAATTCAGGGGAAGTCCATGGGGGTCACCCCCTACCCTCTTCTTTTTGAAAACTTGTAAACGGTCGAGATCCCCACCCTAAACCATATATATTCTTGAATGGGACAATAAAACAAATCAAATGAAATTTAGGGGAAGTTCCCTGGGGAAACCCCCACCCCCTTCTTTTTGAAAACTTGTAAACGGTCAAGATCCCCACCCCGAAACCATATATATTCTGTATGGGACAATAAAACAAATCAAATGAAATATTGGTGGAGTCCCCGGGTTCACCCCCACCCCCCATCTTTTTGAAAACTTGTAAACAGTCAAGATCCCCACCCTGAAACCATATATATTCTTGTATGGGACAATAAAACAAATCAAATGAAATTAAAGGCGAGTCCTTTTGGGTCAACCCCACCCCCTCCTGTTTGAGAACTTTTAAACGGTTGAGATCCCCACCCCTAAAACATATATATTCTTGTATGGGACATTAAAACAAATCAAATCAAATATAGGGGAAGTCCATGGGGGTAACCCCCACCCCCTTCTTTTTGATAACTTGTAATCTGTCAAGATCCCCACCCCGAAACCATATATATTCTTGTATGGGACAATAAAACAAATCAAATGAAATAAAAGGCGAGTCCCCTGGGGTCACCCCAACCCCCTCCTGTTTAAGAACTTTTAAACGGTCGCGATCCCCACCCTTAACCATATATATTCTTGTATGGGACAAAAAAACAAATCATATGAAATTTAGGGGGAATCCACTGGGGATCACACACCCCCTCTTGAGAACTTGTAAACGGTCGAGATCTCCAACCCTAAAGAACCATCTATATTCCTGTTCGTCATTTCAAGAAGATTTGAATGACATACAGGGTCAATCCATAGGCGTTACTTATGCATATCACAAACCAATTTGTACTGGACTTTGGCCAATGTAAGGTGACCATGGGAATGACGAATTATTGGAGCTTTGTTTGGGAGACTTCGTAACAGCATCCTGTTAAAATTATTTCTTGTTACTGATAAGTTTTATAGATTTTGAAAAGACATTGTATTAATGATAAATGAGATTTTGGATTTTTTTATTCTTTTCTTTGGTAAATTGTTTGAAGAATTTTGTGGCAAGTTTGTTTGTTATTCTGTAAAAACTAATTTTCTGAATGCTATATATTTTTTTTTATGAAGTGAACTCCTTTAAAAACTAAGCTTATATTGTTTATTAATAAACATATATTTAGATTTCTGATTTTGGGCCCAGTTTTCAAGTTGGTCCAAATCGGGGTCCAAAATTAAACTGTGTTAGATTTCAACATAAATTGAATAAATATAGGGTTCTTTGAAATGCTTAATCTATACCTGTATTTCTTTTCATTATTAATAAGATAATACCACATTGAGGTCCAAAGGGTCCTAAATTAAACTTTTGTTTAATTTTATCAAAAATTGAATTCTTTGGTTCTTTGATATACTGATTCTAACAATGTTTGAGTGTTAAATCATATCTAATTTTAGAGAACTTAGTCATCACTGGTTGTTGTTATTATATTACTGATTATAATTTGAAAAATTGCATCATATCTTATTTCTCTGTGTTTCATTTCAACATAAATTAAATATATATAGGGTTCTTTCAAATGCTGAATCTAAACCTGTATTTAAATATTAGATTTTTGGGCCCAGTTTTCAAGTTGGTCCAAATCAGGGTCCAAAATTAAACTTTGTTTGATTCAACGAAAATTGAATTTATGGGGTTCTTTGAAATGCTGAATCTAACCATGTATTGAGAGATTTTTGATTGTAGGCTTCTTTATCAAATTGGTCCACATTGAGGTCCAAAGGGTCCTAAATTAAACTTTTGTCTGATTTCATCAAAAGATGAATTCTTTGGTTTCTTTGATATGCTGATTCTAATATGTACTTAGATTTTGGATATTGGACCATAATAGGTAAATGTCCAACTTCAAATATTTTAGTTCTTTGACCACATTCATTTTGTGTCACAAACCTATGCTGTGTCAAATATTCAATCACAATCCAAATTCAGAGCTGTTTTAAGCTTAAATGTAGTGTCCATACTTGCTCAACTGTTCAGGGTTCGACCTCTGCAGGAAAATCCGGTTTGCTGTCACTTTGGCAGCCTCTTGTCATTGCTTATTTTATAGATTTATATTCTAAATTGAAATGGCTATAAAATAAGCTAATAATCAATATCTGGCTGAATTAAAACTAAGAAATCTTAATATTGTTTAGAATAAAATTTCCGCAAATATTGATGTCAGATGTACAAATCTGTTTTATTAAACTTTGGTTGGTTAAAAAGTACTAACCGATTGCTCTATTACTTATCCAGTACAATGCTCTTAAGCCTCGTGTTTTATTTGGCCTTTCTAACTGTTTTTATTCGAGCGTCACTGGTGAGTCTTTTGTAGACGAAACGCACGTCTGGCGTACAAAATCTTAATCCCGGTATCTATGATGAGTTTATCTGCAATCATACTTAATAAAGTTTTCAGTGACCCTAGTAAAAATTTAGTACCAATTCTTATCTACTTGTTAAGATTGGAATTCTTATTAGTCCCCTACCGATGATGTCGATGGGGACTTTTGGTCTGTCTGTCTGTCCATTCGTCAGTCCGGCAAATCAGTTTTCCACATTTTTTTTTCTTCTTGCTTGAAGATACTGATTTTATATTTAGAGCTTTATCATGACCACTCACAGATCAAGTTTGAATTGTGTTCCGGTCTGAAGATTTTGTGCATTATTATTGTTATATTGTTTAACCATGACAAGTTATAGATCAAATTCGAATTTTGTTCCGATCAGAGGATTTTTTTGCAAAGTAATAGTCCTTAGACTTAGAAAATACATGCACGTAATCAGTTTTTTTTTTTGCATTTTGATCCAAAACAATGAATTTTTAACCGGTAGGGGACTATGTATTGCCATGCAATACTCTCAGTGCTTGTTTGAACTGGATATTTTAAATAAGTACAATTGAGAATTTCAGTATCTAGTAGAAGTATTAGGAATTCTAATTGATACTTTAAGGATTATGTATCCTACTGATTTGTGAAGTAGCATTAATCTGTATGTAGTTTGTGTGCATATTGTCAGCAATAGGCAATACTTATTAAGTTTTGGTTTTCAAAGCTCGTAGATTTCGTAATTGATTTGTCTTCCGAAATGTTTCAATTTGGGTGCCACTGATGATTCTTGTATAGACGAAAAGTGCGTCTGGAGTACTAATTCAACTATGTATGACTTGAAGCATGCAGGGTATGTATTCGTGTCTTACAGACACAGGATAGTTGCAGGTCAAACATTCACTTATCCAATTTCTTCGCCACTTGCCTGTGTGAGAGCATTCTTTTGTCTAGTTTTTTGTATACCTGTATAAAATTGAATTAGTCGTTTTCTCTGCTTTTGAAGGCAATTTCTTTTAAGCAGTTCTTCCTGCAAAACATAGTCCATACTTGAAAAATGTATCAGACGCATGTGTATTTTATCTATGAATGTAATTATGATTTAAATGATTATTTTAGGGAATTGAACTGCATGGAAATAATGTGATGGGAGCTTTATGTATCAATTCTTGTTGGCCAGGGATGGCAAGGACTATATACGGGGACCATCAGCGTTTTATAGATACATATTTTAATCCCTTCAAAGGTAACAAAATAAGTCAGTATATAGATTATATAGAGTTAAAGTGTATATTTAATTAGCAAATTGGCATTGACAGAATATTGAAGTTGAACAAAAACTATTTTTCAGATGTTTAAAGATTACTCAAGTATTTGCATATCGTTTCGTTTATTCAAAATCATGAATAAAATATATTGTTTTAACGTATGTAGGTTACATTATGTTTTGTAATATATGGTAAAGAGTTTAAAATGTTGCTAGTTTCAACTGCTGCCTTGTTGTTTTATACTGTGTACTAGATTGAAAAGATTTCTTTATTAAAGCTATATTTGTTAAATTATTTGCTCTTCTAGTGGATAAGCAAAACAAATTCCTGCAAAAACGTACTTTTTTTTAATATAAAAATTTTAAAAATATGAAAATAATTAGGATTTTCTACCCCCAGGAATAGATCACCTTAGCTGTATTTGGCAAAACCTTTCCGAATTTTTGGGTCCTCAATGCTCTTCAACTTCATACTTTATTTGGTACTGATGAGTCTTTTGTAGACGAAACAAGATGAAATTTTGTACAGTTGTTGTGCATATGATATTTTGATGAAACTCGGCTCTCTAATTTGGAAAAAAAAACTGTTTTTGTTTTATAAAATTCAAAAATATTTTGAAATGTCTTTTGTAAACGCAAAAACTCTAAAAGAGTAAGTAGGCAAATGAATTTTGGCATAGTTGCGCATAATATGCAGACATGTCAGTTTTCTCTAGTTGTTGGCGTCTTTGTCAGATTTATTTGTATGTTACTTTGAATGTTTGAGTCAGTTGTGTTTATGTGTCTTTGATGTGTGTTTACAGTTTTGGCTGCTGTATCCCAACTATTTTAATTGTCAATATAACAAAAATATAAACAACTGTCATACAAATGGGAGGTTAAGCTAGCTAGAAAACCAGGTTTAACCCGCCATTTTCTTCAGAAAATGCATGACCAAGTCAGAAATATGACAGTTGTTTTCCATTCGTTCCGTTGATTTATATAATCGATGGTTTGATTTTGTCAGGTTTTTTTTACATCCCATTTTTGAATTTACCTTGGAGTTCGGTATTTTTGTTGATACTTTTTTGATGACCCTGTCTGATAAGTATCATTCCCTCTTGGATAAAAATGACGAAACACTGCTTCATTAGATATAATGTAATGATTAGATTCTTTGACTAATATATCAGGGTTCTGTCTGTCTTGAGGTATGTTGTACTGCTCTTATTATACCCCCGCTTTAAAAAAAAGTGGGGGTATACTGTTTTACCTCTGTCTGTCCATCCATTCGTCCGTCAGTCCATCCATCTGTCCATCCGTCCGTCCGTCCGTCCGTCCCATGAATATTTTTCGTCGCATCTTTCTCAGGAACTACATCAAACGGATTTCTGAAATTTGGTTTCAGGGTTTATATAAGTCAGCTATACCGTGTGATGCGTTTTCAGATTCATCACTCAACAACTTCCTGTTTACCGAACACTTGTATCATTTTACACATGATAGCCAAGTAGAAAATTTTCGTCACATTTTTCTCAGGAACTACAATACAAGGATTTCTGAAAATTGGTTTCAAGGTTTATATAAGTCAGCTTCACCGTGTGATGCGTTTTCAGATTTATCACTCAACAACTTCCTGTTTACCGAAATATTTGGTCGGGGTATCATCAGTGAGCAGTAGCTCACACTTTCACTTGTTGCTTCTTCATCTTCATGTTGAGCTGTTTTGGTGCTACCTTGTGCAAGCACGATTGTTTCTGTGCGAAGAACCAATGTGTCTACGTCACGGTACTGTTTAACTGCATCGGTTATTGCTTTTTAAAATTGCTGATACTTGTTTTGTTATGACTTATCTTGGTATATCAACGTCAGATTTGTTGCACTGTACTAGCCAGTGAACACTGACTTTTATAACCAAACTGGAGAACGTCTTGTTTGAAGTGAATTGGTGCTTTGATTAATGCTTCGAGTCCGTCTATAATGCGTCGATGCTTATGTTGTTCCCTTGGTGCTGAATTCGGGTCAGGAAGTATGCGATCGGGTTTCCCTCACCTGATATATAGTAAACCTTAACATTTTTGGACTGGAGATACATGGTTCATGCCCAAGCACCAGGAACTCTCTTTAATGCAGTAAATGAATTGCTATAACGGATACTTGGAGACCGTCAATAATGATTTGATTATGACGATTGTTCTCTTGATGGTGAATTTAAGTGAGAAAGTCAGTGCATAAAGGTAAACTCATGGTTCATAATAACATAAATGGCACAAATTTTTCTGTGCATCTCGACAATAAATGTCTCTTCGTCAGGGATGATGGAGGCCAAAATATTTAAAATCGAAACCTTATTAAAAAATGAAGAGGTTATAAACATAAAAGGACAAACATTATAGCCAAAGCTGTGCAAGGAATCAGAGCTTTGCATGAGGGAGATATATTGACAATTATTTCCATAATTTTGTAATAGCAAATTAAGGTACACTAAACACTTGTGTTTACGGCTATTCGTTTAAATAATCTTGACAACTTCAAAAGTAAGATATTTTACAAGAGTTAGCCAAAATGCAGGTGATTATGCTATTGTAAGGTCCATTTCCGTTTGAAAATCATTCATAAACCATTCGACCAAAATAAAATTGTTAGAAATAGATGTTTTAGTCAGATACACATCCGTACAAAAAATAATGGTTGTCTTTTCATGTGGCCAATGTCGTTTGAAGCAAAAATTGTTAGAATTTAGGCAAAAAATAAGTCAAACGTCAAAATTATGACGTCAAAATGACATCAGAATTATTCTACTGGGTCAGAGCTTGTTATATTTGTACTTGTTAGATATCTAAACATATCTTTTCATCAAATGTTTATTTTTATTACTAATGTTAAATTTCACAGAAATTTAGGACAAATATGGACCCTTCGTGAACCTACACCTTTAAATAGACATTAGTTTTTAGCTCACCTGGCCCAAAGGGCCAAGTGAGCTTTTCTCATCACTTGGCGTCCGTCGTCCGTCGTCCTGCGTCCGTCGTCCGTAAACTTTTACAAAAATCTTCTCCTCTGAAACTACTGGGCCAAATTTGACCAAGCTTGGCCACAATCATCATTGGGGTATCTAGTTTGAAAAATGTGTCCGGTGACCCGGCCAACCAACCAAGATGGCCGCCATGGCTAAAAATAGAACATAGGGGTAAAATGTAGATTTTGGCTTATATCTCTGAAACCAAAGCATTTAGAGCAAATCTTGAAGGGGTAAAATTGTTTATCAGGTCAAGATCTATCTGCCCTGAAATTTTCAGATGAATCTGAGAATCCGTTGTTGGGTTGCTGCCCTTGAATTGGTAATTTTAAGGACATTTTGCCGTTTTTGGTTATTATCTTGAATATTATTATAGATAGAGATAAACTGTAAACAGCAATAATGTTCAGCAAAGTAAGATCTACAAATAAGTCAACTTGACCAAAATGGTCAGTTGACCCCTTAAATAGTTATTGCCCTTTATAGTCAATTTTTAACCAGTTTTCGTAAATTTTTGTAATCTTTTACAAAAATCTTCTCCTCTGAAACTACTAAGACAAATTTAACCAAACTTGTCCACAATCATCATTAGGGTATCTAGTTTAAAAAATGTGTCCGATGACCAAGCCTGCGAACCAAGATGGCCGACATGACTAAAAAATAGTACATATGGTAAAATGCAGTTTTTGGCTCATATCTCTGAAACCAAAGCATTTAGAGCAAATCTGAAAAGGATAAAATTGTTCATTATGTCAAGATCTATCTGCCCTGAAATTTTCAGACCAATCAAGCAACACGTTGTTGGGTTGCTGCCTCTGAATTGGTAATTTTAAGAAAATTTTGCAGCTTTTGGTTATTATCTTGAATATTATTATAGATACTAAGAGATAAACTGTAAACAGCAATAATGTACAGCAAAGTAAGATCTACAAATAAGTCAACATGACCAAAATTGTCAATTGACCCCTTAAGGAGTTATTGCCCTTTATAGTCAATTTTTTACAATTTTCATAAGTTTTGTAAATTTTTGTAAATTTTTACAAAATATTTTCCACTGTAACTACTGGGCCAAGTTCATTATAGATAGAGATAATTGTAAGCAGCAAGAATGTTCAGTAAAGTAAGATCTTCAAACACATAACACAATTTTGTCATGAATCCATCTGTGTCCTTTGTTTAATATGCACATAGACCAAGGTGAGCGACACAGGCTCTTTAGAGCCTCTAGTTTATGACTGCACCGAAGTACTGGTTACAGGGCTTTATAGCCCTCTGGAAGAAACAGCGCATCAGCAGATGTATCGACCAGTGGTAGTTATAACATTTGCGGTACCAATTTTATAGCACCAGAGGCGCATTTCGACAATAAATGTCTCTTCTTGTCCTTTTCTAGATTTGGATATTTCAGTTTCACAGGGGAAACTCTTTACTAAAATTTACGACATAAGAGAGGGTGTCTCGTTTCCTATTGCATGTTTTTCAACGGTTTTCCCAAATTGTCACTATGCTCATGTCTGTAGTGACGTTTTAAATTTTGATAAACGTAGTCTTTGTATAACTGGTAAATTATTAAGTCGGTGATGCGTAACCACAATTACATAAAATCTTTCATAGATACAAAGATTTGGTTTTGAAGTTTGACTGTACCTGTAGAAATCTTATTACAAATGGGATATCACATCCTTATTTTACGGTGATATATAAAGAGCTTGTCAAATAAGATACGATCCAAGTACACTTATCAATCCTTAGAATAAAATCGATCTGAAAGGTTATAAATCAAAAGTGTCCTCAACGGTACTGACATTGATTTTGTTTTTCAATAAGTTCAAACATTATTAGATTTATAAATATATATTGTTATACAGTTATGAACTCTTTTAGTCTTACATCCTGTCGATACTTATATATTGGCATTGCTTAATGCCATGCTTTTCTTATAATGTTTATGACGTCTTGAAAAAAAACCATTAGCTGTGTA